AAAAAGAAAAAGAAAAAGAAAATTAGCTGGGCTTGGTGGTGCACACCTGTAGTGCCAGCTACTCAGGAGGCTGAGGAAGGAAAATCACTTAAACCCAGGAGGTGGAGGTTGCAGTGAGCTGAGATCACACCACTGCACTCCAGCCTGGGTGACAGAGCAAGACTCTGTCACAAACAAACAACCCCCAAATATTTAGCAACTGATATAGCATGGGCCCTGGCACCAGTTAGACAGACACCCAGCCCCTCATAACCGGTGCTGGTGCAACTGCTATGCAGTGGCTGAATAGCATGCCTGCTTGACTGTAGGCATTTCTTAGCTTCTTCTTCTCATTCCTAGCATGAAAAATGAAAGGCGACACTTGGGGAGACACCTTGCCAGGATTTGAGCAATGTTATGCTCCTGTAGAGAGATGAAGGAAAGGGCTGGCAGTCCAAGGCTTTGGGGATTCTCTCGAAGATTGCTCCTCTCATGCCATGTGAGCTGAAAGATCTCGGAAGAAGGGAACCTATGTTATGGGACATAAAACTTCTCCTTTTTTCTCTGGATCACAGTCACACCATCCCCTAGCCATTCCACACTCCAAGCTCTACTGGGAACTGATACACACCTCAGGTTCGGGGTGACTGCATTTCTGATGGACCCTGTTCAAGAGATTGATTGCACTGAACAAGACTCCCTAAAAAACAGCTTTATCCCCGCCTCCAAGCAGACCTGCACTTCAGTATTCCAAAGAGTCAAGATGGACTAGTTCTCCCTTTCCTACCACATCCGAGGCTCGGCCACACACACACACACACTTCAGGGTTTCTACTGTCTCTTCCATCTTTGCGTACCTTGGTGTGGCTTTTTCCTCCTCACCCAGCACATGTCCTCCCTGACATCTGCAGGGCAGAGGAGGTGGCTGGTGAGGTGTCTTTCCCTTTGACTACCGATTCCATCTTCAGCTCGGAATTCTTCTGCCCGGATCTATCTATAGATGGATGCAGCTGCAAATAGTAAGGTATGTTGAAGACGAAGGTATTCGCAACAGATGAGGATTGTCTTGCAGGTCAGGGCCCCCGAGAGTCGCAGAGGGTGTCAGGTCATTTTGTAACTCGATGGTTCACATATGCCAAAAATATTTGCACTCTGATAGGGCTCTCTCTCTGGTTTCAGATTTAGGAACATTCCAATGGTTCGGGAATCTGAAGGCTCCAGGCAGACAACATTTGTAGTCAGTTGGGGAACCTCTGCTTTAAATACTCTTAAGGACAGAAGGCAAGAAGGCATTGTGCGGCAAGGAACTGCTTCAGCTTGGCTTCTTGATTTCACGGGATTATCACTCCTCTTCTACTGCAGGGAGGAAGACAGCACAAACCCTGGAGGCCACGGTGCCCATTCTGCTGCATCCAGGCACACACAGCGTGTATGTGAGATGAGGATGAGCAAGAAGGAAGTGAGGGTATCAGATGAGAACTTGGGTGCATTTCCTGGACATAGTTGGAGAGGAATTGCCATCTGTAGTCCAAAGCCTCTCTACTTCCTTCATGCCCTATTTTGTCCCCCATCCCTCGCCAAAGAGGTTGCCATTATTAGGATCCTTGTCATCTGAGGTTAAAATAAGACCGGTTCAAAGTGAGGAAACATTATGGGCAGGCAGCCTGGCCCCTGCTTGTTCTTGGAGCCACACACAGCCTGAGTTCTCCAGGCAGAGTGGCTCTCCTAGAACATCCAGTGCCTTCTGCTGCCTTCACAAGCCTTCCTCAGCTGCGCTGGATGCTGCTGTACCCCTTAACTCCAAGAAGGGAACAGCTTCTCCCCCAGCTTCCCTGACAATTTATCCCAGTATCCCCAGAGCCTTCACTGGCAGGAAGCTTGAAGTGCCTGATCAGTCTCCTTTGGGTTTGCAATACAACCCTACACTCTCACCCTGCCGTCTCTGCACTTTGAGGATGGCTGCTTCCCGCTGACCTGTGCAATTCATGTAGTCAGCGGCCTCTGAAAGGAAAGATGATTGGAAAGAGGCAGAATGGGAGCACACATCAATCATACTGGTTTGACAAGTGACATTCGTACAGGCAGATTCCTGCAGCGATGAGGCTAGGAGAGAGAAACTCGATGCTTTGAAATGCCTTTGCTCTGGGAATATATAGAACACTATATGGATACACAACAATGCACACAAACTCCTACCCTGGCCTTTTCCTTTGCACATGGTCACATTCCTCAAGTGTCACCGATACCTTCTTTCCTTGGGGGAGGTCACAGCACGGGATCCATTGCCATTCTAAGATGCTGATTGCAACCCTCACTTGAATGGGCTACATGCCATGGGGTCCAGCGCGGCCAAGGGCAACAACTGGGGTCTCCCCAAGTGCAAGAAAAGCCTGACTCAGAAGCCATGGAGGGCAAGGGGAATTATTTGCTTGTGCAAAATTCCAATAGGACACTTTCTGCTTTAAATCTGTGAGCCTTCTTTTGTGGGTCCTTATATCCTGGGAAGGAAATGAGTGACAGTCATGACCAGGGACACCTTGCTGCCCCGCTTTGCCCGTCCGTATTTGCTCAGGGCGATGTAGGTCCCTCGGTACAAGTCTGACTCGTAGGCGTTGTAATTGTTGGGCAGGAGAGTTTCTCTGAACTTGCATTCTTCTTGGAAGCTGGGCTGTGAAAGACATGGGCAAACAGCAGAGACTGGGTTACAGATGAGGAGGGCTGCAGACGCCAGCTGGGCTGCATAGAGGAGGCCCCTCTGACGGGCGCCCCTTCCTTTCCCTTTGTGAGGCAACCACTGTGAGGTCTGAGCATCCTGGGTGAATAGAATGGTGAGCGGTTAGGACGGGAAGAGGCTGCAGGCTCTCATGGTTTCCTCTCACCTTCTTCCCTCTTTTACTAGAAGGCCCAGGTACACAGGGGGATGGTCTGTGCCACATGGGGCAGAGCTGAGGCTCTGCCACTCAGGTCTCCTGACTTCCAGAGAACTTTCTACTAAGTCTTTAGATGGTAACTTATTCCATTCAAAGAACAGACCAGGAAATGATACAATAAGCTGTTTTCTCAAGTGCACGGTGAGAGGGAGTCTACTGGAGCAGGAATGAGAGCCCAGGGTGCTATTTTCTAACTTTTCTACTTCCCAGTTGTGTGGCCTTGGGCAGGCTCCTCCTTTTTCAGCCTCAGTTCTCTTTTCTGCAAACTGTGTGTGTTGGGGGAAGGAGAGAGGTGGTTGGTGAGGGGGAGGAGACACAGACGATCTCTTAAGCCCTTTCCAGCACTGTCTCTCTTTCTTTCCACCCGTGGTTCCTCGGTCCATCTTTCTTGGTTTAAGTCCCAAGTTTTCTATCCCTCAAATAGGCCCATTCTCAGTTTTGACTTTGAGCCTAGAAGATGTCTGGTGCCTCCTAGACCAGGGGTCCCCAACCCCCAGGCTGCAGACCCATACCAGCCAGTGGCCCATGCCAGTGCAGGAACGGGGCTGCACAGCAGGAGGTGAGCGGTGGCTGGGCGAAGCTTCATCTGTTTTATCCCCACTCCCCACCGCTTGCATTATCACCTGAGCTCCGTCTCCTGTCAGATCAGCAGAGGCATTAGATTCTCAGCAAGAACCCTGTTGTGAGCTTGGCATGAGAGGGATCTGGGTTGCATGATCCTTATGAGAATCTAACGCCTGGTGACCCGAGGTGGAAAAATTTCATCCCAATACCATCCCTCCATCCCCCATCCTGTACATGGAAATGAAATAGTCTTCCATGATACTGGTCCCTGGTGCCAAAAAGGTTGGGAACTGCTGTCCTAGACAATCATAACTCTCCAGGGATATGCAGGAACACAGATGGCGAGGAGCAGGGATTTTTACTGGGAAAAAGACCTGGTTCCCAATATGACAGTGTTGCCGAGGAGTCTGGGACCAACAAAAAATGGCCCTTTCCATGCTAATTTGGTAGAGGAGTGTGTGTGGACCACCTGTTTAGAACATGAACTCTGGACTTCCTGTCTCCCATGCACAAGTTCATTCCCAGTACATCACCCCAAGTCCTCCTTCTCTCCTAGAAAAGAAGGCTCTTTCATCTGCAACCTGCCTGGGTGGCTGCCCTGAGGGAGTGTGCAGGGATTTCCTGTTCTTGTGGGGAAGCAACTGGGTGGGGGCTAGAAGAACAGAGAGTGAGGTGGGAGCCAAGACCTGGGATCTACTCTTTTTTTTCTTTTTTTTTGAGATGGAGTCTTGCTCTGTCACCCAGGCTGGAGTGCAGTGGCGTGATCTCAGCTCACTGCAACCTCTGCCTTCCAGGCTGAAGCACTTCTCCTGCCTCAGCCTTCCAAGTAGCTAAAACTAAAGGTAGGCACCATCATGCCCAGTTAATTTTTGTATTTTTAGTAGAGACGGGGTTTTGCCATGTTGGCCAGGATGGTGTTGATCTTTTGATTTCACGGTTCACCCACCTCAGCCTCCCAAAGTGCTAGGATTACGGGCATGAGCCACCACGCCTGGCCCCAGGATCTATTCTTGAAAGAACTATAGAATGAGAAATGGGTGGAGGATAACTTCTGACTCCTTCTTGCTCAGGTATTTAAAAAACCCCACTCAATGGCTGCTGGGCTGTGCCAGAGGTATTCTCTGACCTTCTGTGAAGGAACTGTACTGTGAGTGTCTCACCTGGCTGGCAAGTAGGTAGATGAGAAGCTCTTGGCTCGTTGTCTTCAGAAGGGAAGCAACTTGGGTAAGTAGCTTGCCCCTAGGGGCCCCAGACTCCCAGAGACCTTTCGGTGGACCTCTCTGGCAACATTTTGAACCGCCATACTTTCTTTCCCAATAGACTACAAAATCCCTGAGATGAGGACTGGGTCTTGCATGGTACATGATGCTGAGTCAATGGTGGTTTAATAAGGACAACATGGGTTTGGTGGCTCACACCTGTAATCCCAGTACTTTGGGAGGCCAAGACAGGAGGATCACTTGAGCCCAGGAGTTTGAGAGGAACCTAGGCAACATAGCAACATTTTGCCTCTACAAAAACTTAAAAAAAAAAAAAAAAGCCAGGCATGGTGGCACATGCACGTAGTCCCAGCTACTCTGGAGGCTGAGGTGGGAGAATCACTTGAGGTCAAGGCTGCAGTGAGCCATGATTGCTCCACCGCACTCCCGCCTGGGTGACAGAGTGAGATCCTGCCTCAAGAATAGATAAATAAGTAAATAAGGACAACACTGAAACATAAGGGGACCCCTGCATGGGAGGCTCTTTCAGTGTGATGCGGGAGAGGGCGAGGGGACAGCCTTGCCTGTGGAAACACAGTGAAACACCCCCTATACATTTTCCCTATGTTCTTCTCTCCCGCTTGCAGCTTATTTACAAAGCACTTTCGCTGATATTAACTTGCTTGAGATAAACGTGAAGATGTTCACCAGCCATGTCAACTGGTTAATGCCACATGAGGGGGATGGGTTTTCGTAAGCTTTCCTGTTCTCGTCGTTAGGGATGCTCAGTACATATTTGCCAAATGGGTGAATGAAGGGATGCCCATTTTGGTAAAAAAGGATGAACTAATCAACATCGGGCAAGAACATATTTGTGCCACAGCTTTCAGGTTAGACGGTTGACAGTAGGCTCTTACTTAGCTATGTGAGCTCCGGCAAATCATTTAACCTCCAAAGCTTACTGTTCCCTCCTCTGTGAGGTAGGAACAGTAAGAAAAACTATGTCATAGAATTGGAATAAGCATTAATTGAAATAATGCATAGAAAGTCCTGGGAACAATGCTTGCTATATAGTAAAATTAAAAAAAAAATCATTATTAGTATTCTTCTCTAAGTAAATCATGAGCTACTTTACATTAAAAACCTTAAAAGACTGCCTTACCCTGGATCACCAGTCCCATAAGACTTGATGTGGGTTACTAGACAATTTAGCTTTTAAGCTCTGCGATTTTTGACCGAGTGCCTGGGAGACAGTGAGCTGACCTGGAAGAGCAGGAAGTGAGAGTAAGGGCAGAGGTTGACGTTGGCTGTGAACCACGTCCCCTCAACAGGAGCCTCTCTGGACCCTGGTTTTCTGCACTGTGCACAGGGAGTAGACTTAGTCACAGGACTTCGACTGTTGATGGACAAGCCTGGGAGTAGCAACACCAGCAGAAATTCAGCTCAGAACTGATGGAAACATTCCAAGTAAAGCTACACTAATGAGAAGTCTAGTAGAGGTAAATGAACAAGTTAGAATCTGGCAGTAGATCCCAACACATACATGGATGTAAAATAAAGTGAATCTAAATGATTATAAGGTAAAAGTGGTACTTTAAATAACTAGAGAAAACATGATGTTGGAACAACTGAATGGTATTTTATTACAATAATAAAGTTTGATGTGTATGACTTTATCCCTTACATCAAAATCAATTCCAAAAGGAGCAAAGATTTAAATGTAAAAAAGAGTAACATTAAAATCAAGAAAAAAAAATTTTAAGGGTACCCCTGAAACAGAAAAATATTTTAATAAACTCAGAATCAGGAATATCTTTCTAAGCAGGACACAACAAAATTAAAGCCATTTAAAAAAAACTAATAAACTAGTCTTCTATTTGAAAATTATTACCTAAAATAAGAACAGAAATGGCAAACTGGATGAAAATACTTATAATACACTTATGTCCAAGAGTACATTTTGTTACTATATTCAGACCCCTAAACTCACTGGAGAATGAACAATGTTTATAAAACAGAAAATTCTCAGGAAATGAAATATAAATGACATTTGAGCAGAAGAGAATATGCCTAATAAGAGAAATGTAAATTATAACTGTGCATCACATTTTTAGTGGCCAGATTGCAAAGAGAAAAGCATTTGACACTATGCTGTCATTAGTGAGGGCATAGAAACTAGGAATTCTCATTTAATGTCCCCTGATGTATGTACTGTTATGATCTCCATAAAGAACAATTTGGCAATATCTACCAGAATAAAGGATGAATATAGCAACTGATCAGCAATTCCACTTTTAGAAATTTATCTTACTGATATTCTCATGCGTGCACCAAAGTTACTACAGCATTAAATAAAAAAAGACCAAAAACAATGTATCTATTGAGATGAGTAACTGACTCAATTATGGTAGATCCACATGATGGAAGCCTATAAGCCTTGAAAAAACAAAAAGTCCCTCTACAGTGGCATGCAATGGCCTCAAAGATAGATTACTAGGTGAAGACACGAGGTTTGAAACAGTGTTAGTATAGTATGTTCCTGTTAGTGTGATTTTAAAAAGATGCTACCAGAGCGTGCACATTGTGCATAGGCTATTTCTGGAATGATACAGTGGTAACTGTGGCTGTCCCCAGGGAGGAACTCAGTGGCTTCAAGACAATGGTAGGAGTGAGACTTTCCATAGAATATTCTTTGATACTTTTTCTTTTTCCTGAAAACATGTTCCTATGCTACCTAGTCAAGTAAGTAAATTATTTAAAGTGGGAAAGGAATTTAGGGTAGCAGATAGGCCAGGAAATGAAGCGAGAAAACATTTTGATCAGAAACTGGTGGTCTCCTCCTCGTTGGGTCACAGCCCCTCTCCACCCACCAGCCTCCCCCCTGTTCTAACTTTGTACGTCCCTGGAGAGTAACCCGCCCAGTCAGTTCCAGAGAATTTATTTCTGATCTGGATGGTGGTTAAGGGAGAGGTTTCATGTGTTGTTTGCAAGCTCTAGAGAGGAAATGAAATCTTGAGGCGGAGGAAGGGGAAGGGGGAGGAACTGAGTGACTCGGTCAAGAAACTCTCAAGCCATTGCCCACTTCCCGCTGCCTAGAATGTGTCCATTTGAGAACCCAGCCTTTCCTAAACGTCCGGGTCTCCTAAAACATGATTGTTTAAGCGTGCATGACCATGGTTGTATAGCTTGTACTTTCTCTGGTCATTAGATTTTGGATCATTCAAATCTGCTCCCCTTCAACATACACAGTTTTTTTTTTTTTTTTTAAGTTTACCACTTTTTTTCTTTCCAATATGCCCTTTTCTCTAGGCTGTCTCATCTCCCTGGCCTTCCTCAGAATCCTGTACAAAACTAAAGTGAAAAAAGACAACTAATAGATGAAGCTTGTGTTAGAAGCCCTAACCTTCCCTTGCTGTTCTCTCTCCTCTACCCTTAGCACCCCTATCCGTGGGGTTCTGGTGCAGGAGGCCTGTGGCATGAACGGGAGATAACTCGTTTTCCCCGAATGCTTTGATGCAGCCGGATGCTTTAGGCTGATGGGATTTTCCCGCTGCCCAGAGTGATGTTCAAGACCCAGCCCCTTAATTCATCTCCATCAGAGCCCTGAGCTTTGAGTTCTCATGGCTCAGTAATGCTGTCTCCTCACCTCTGGTGAGGAAAGCATTTGAGCCAAGTGAACGCCATGTTTATAAAAGCAGCTACCACGTATGATTACTTGAACAAATGAATATCATTCCACTGGGTCACATTTCCTGGGCCCTTCGGGCTCAAACCCCAGCATGACACTATTTTAATTTCCATGTAAGTCTATTCAGATTTATGTGCATTTGGCATTCACTATGGAGAAGGGCATTTTTCAGAGAAGCAAGCACATCCATGGGGTAGAAATGCCCCTAAATATGTGAGGAGAGGACAGGAAAAGGCCTGGGACCAACCCAGCTATTGGTGGAGCAGGTTCCCCCTCTGTAGAGTGGGGCATCCCAAAGAACCCCTTCTTACCATCCTGCATAATGCCTGGAATCCCAGGGGATTGGGAGAGGGGGGACAAGATAGCCACCCTCTTGCCTTTAAAGCTAAGTCATCTAGACCAATGAGGATCAATCCTGCCTTTAAACATCTTCATTCTATGACTGCTTAGGCCATTGACCCCTGTTGCTCCTGGGAGTATATGTTGGATGGAGAAAGATGGGGTGGAAGGATGTGGGCAAGAAGGAAAAATAAACCAGTGCTCTGTCCTAAGACTTTCTTCTGTAGCCCCTGACTGCTTCTTTCCCTGTGTAGCTGAAATATCATCAGCTCTGAAGATGCCTGCATTTTCTAACCCTTTTTCCTAGCATACAACTGCACTGTCAATGTAGCAATGGAAAGTGTTTTCATCAGGTGTTTCCTTCTTCTCACTCCTGTACAGGTCTTTGTAGCAGGTGGGGATTTGTATGCAGGGCATTGGGCCTCTCATAAGGGCATGCACCTCCTGCTGCACTCCAGGCCCATTTCCTGGCACTTTCACATGGGGGGCGTCCGTCCCATTCCCTCAGGAGTGCTGCTCTCTGCTAGAGTGGCAGCTGAGTCAAGGAAAGACTGGTCTTCCCCTCCCCTAATGTAATGCCCCAGATCATAATCAAGGGTCTCTGGAGGAAATCAATTTTGTCCTCTGCACATTGTCGTACTGTTGAAGAAAAGGGTGTAAATGCAGTTATTCTTAGTAAAACTAAAGTCACTTGAGAGCATAACTGAATTGCTAGTCTCTTTTTGCTAGTATGTATTTTTCTCAACCGAAGGATTCTAATAGAATCCACTATGAGGTGGAGATCCTTGATGTTTTGTTTTCTTAGTGTTAAAGGGGATCAAGGGGGTTAGAATTCACTGATTTCGCCTCAGTCTACACCTGAGAGAGCAGAGGTCCAAGCCCAGAGAAGTTCAGTGACATTGCCCAAAGACAAGTAGCTAGAGGGTAGGCCGGCCAGGAACTGGAACCTGGATCTCAGAGCCCTGAGACAGGGCTGCACACAGTTGTGGCTGCACCTGTGACCCTGGAGACGCAGTGTTCGCAGCTGCAAAGGGAGGATGAAGATCAAATGCACCTCGTAGGGGTGCTGCGAGATCATGCTGATAAAGCCCTTGGCAGCCTGGTGCAGTCCAGCACAAACAGTAGGCTAGTGCTCAAGGCAGGGCAGCTGTTTATCTAAAGGGCGGGAGATGGGCAAACTGCCCTGAGCCTCTGCACCCCTCTTTCCAGGAGACAGACGTGTGTGAAGCCACTTCTAGCTGGGTTTTCTTGGCCCTTATTCTCTGCCCACGAGTTGTTGCCTTGTTCTCCTCACCAGCGCCTCAACCCCAGCCCAGTTTCCCTCCCCCACCCATGAGAAATGCCATATAGTGGCAGTAGCAGCTGAGCCTGGGAGATGAGGCAGCTCAGGGGGCTTAAAGGGAAATAGTGTGAATGAAATAATCACTCAGTGGGAGTCTTCCTGGCTCCAGGGATCAGTTGGCAATTGTTTTTTTAGACTGTGATAACGGCCTCTGAAGGGTGGGGAGGGAGGAGGTAGAAGCTGTTCAGGAGCATCTGGTCCTGAGCCACACAAAACGTCAGGTGTCCCAGGCTTGGGTCACAGCTGTCCAGCCCTGCTCTCTGTGTGCAGGTCCGGCTGGCCCTGAAGTCCAGGGAGGAAAATCTCCCTCCCTAGAGAAGATGCTCTTTGGCCAAATGCTACTGAGGGTGCAGGTAGGAGGGGTGGGAGGGCAAAGGCGAAGGGGGGGGGGTCTTTTCTGCAGAAGTTCCCATTCTCCTGGACTTTGCTCATTTAGTGAGTCCAGCAGCTCATCAACCTGCTTAACTCCCTTTAAAGTCATCAGCCAATAATGTGCTGCAGAGCGAGGGCTGGGGTGGGAGTGGGGGGCTGGGGTCACAGGCATTAGGAGTCAGCCTCTTTTTCCTTTGAAGTCCCATAGCCAACAGCCCAAATTCCCCATTCTCCCAATCCCCTGGGATCCCAGGCATTATGCAGGATGGTAAGAAGGGGTTCTTTGGGATGCCCGCTCTACAGAGGGGGGACCTGCTCCACCAACAGCTGGGTTGGTCCCAGGCCTCTTCCTGTCCTCTCCATCACTTTTCCAGGGAGTAGTAAGAAGGCTATGTCTCTTCTGTCTCATCTCACCCGGCCCTCCAGCTCTCAGGTTCAGTGAAACTTGGGGGGCTGGATGGTCTACTGCCCTCCAGAGGCCATATAGCCTGCTGGCCCCCAAGCCTGCCTGTGCCTCAGAAACACCTGGTAAATTTAAAATACAAAAATAAACAGATTTCCAGGCCCACATCCCAGCTCTGTTGAATAAGAATCTCCTAGGTAGGTCCCTGGAAATCCATACTTTTAACAAGTTACCAAGGTGACTAGAGATGCACGCTGTACACAGAACCATGTGGGAGACCCATGGTTTTGAATGCATGCCGTATGTCCATGCAAAGCAACCCAGAATGAGAGATGGTAGCAGTAAAGATTATGGGGCAGAGGCCACCTGGTGAACCTGTTCTTGTATTTCATACACCTCCTCTGTTGGGATGGCCCCACTGGGATCCAGTGCCAATTCTGGATCTATTTCTCTACCTCCTGATCCTTGGTTTATCTTCCAAGGGGCAGTAGATCCTCCCTCCACACCCTCCCCATAAATAACTTTGATATTTTTTGAGGACTGCTCTGAGGTCTTCCTTTTTAGCTTGCTTATTTCTGTCAAAGGAACTCTCCATTTCTTCAGTTTCATAGGGATGTTTGCCCAGCCATATTTTGGAATAAGCCAAATGATGGGCTGAAGGCCACAGGAACAAGTAGGTCAGTGAGAGCAGAGGTTTTGGTCAATGTGCTTAGAAGTTGGTTGCATTAACCCAAGTGCCAACATTGGCGCTCCCAGGGGTGACCTATGGGGTTGGGGATGGGAATGGGTGGGACCTGGTAACTGTCTAAAGCGTATAATGGGGAGGCTACTTCTCCAGCCTATGTGATCCGAGACAAGAGGATTGAAAACCCTAGCGCAGAATCTCAGCACAGTGATGAGGATGAAAACAGCCTCCCATTCCACTCCTCCTCCTGTGCACTAGGCCAGGGTGTCTTGCAGGGCGAGTGCCTGCAGGGCAAGCAGCACACCCAGGCAGAGAGACAGGCTTGCTCTCGGGGCCTTGCCAATGCAGGGAATCACACCTGCCCACAGGCTTGGATGCCACAGTGCAGGTTTCCCTCTGGCCCACGGGCTCCCTGAGCTGTGGTTTCTGTTTAATCACACAGGCTCCATCTGGCCCGTGGGAACAGAAGCAGCACGGAGTAGAGGACAATCACCCGTGAGGCTGAAGAAGCAAAAGCTGCAGTGCCCTTCCCTTGCACATGCTCCTTTCTCAGCCTTTCTTTTCCCATTTAGATAAATAGTCACTTCTCTACTCAGAATTTCGTATTATTTTCTTCAACTGTGTAAGCATCAAGCCTTGTAAACCTGGCACTTTCCCGGCCTGGTGAACTCACCGTTGCGTACAATCTTCCTTCACTGTTCATGGCAACGAAGAGGGCACTTCTCACTCCAAAGAGACTCACCACACCTCGCTCCACGGTGGAAATTTCCAGTAGGCCTGACAAGGAAATGTGAGCCACATTACCTAAGGCTCGTGCAAATCAGACTGGGAACTTGAGCCAACAAGGACATCTCAGTCCATCCCTCTTCTCCTAGAAAGTCAGACTCTCTGTCACCCCTCCCATGATCCCTTTAACTCTAGGAGACCCTGGCTGCTGGACTCATCAGGTGCTGCATTGTGCTATTAAAAGCCCACTTCTGCAAGGGAAAGTTCTGATGTCGGAGTTAGGGACTGCAATGACCACTTAGTTATCTGTTTAAGATGAGTTTTGAATCTGGTCTTTCAATGACAAAATTACTTGAGGTCCGTGACTTGGGTAAAAAAAGTAAATTCTGATTATCATTATTCTTAATGTGTGCTCTACATGTTTCAGCAAATCTCAACCCATCCTGAAAACACAGCAGCCAGACCACGGCTGATGGCTTTCTTGGATCCTGCAGTCCCCATCCTTTCTTGGATAGGAGACTAACCATACAGTAACTTGTCAACTTGCAGGGTAAGAACCTGGAGACAGAGGGAGCTCACTGAAGTAAAAAGAAGGATATGCTTCAGTTGGACATTTTGCAATTGAATTTCCCTTTCTTCTCCAAGAGGGAAGCTGAATAAAAATGAGCTTGTGTCTAATTTGATCCCAGTATACTAACCCATTCTCCCTACCCCTACCTTGGGGGCTTCCCAGACTAATGGTTCCCAGTGGTCTTACAAGGCATCAGATGGGCCAGTATTGTTGCAATAGTTAGTGCCACTGAGGATCGAACCAAGGGGATAGCAAATAACACCAGGATGCTGGGACCCCAGTAGACCAAGCCTGCACCCAGGCAGAGTCCCACAGAGTCATCTAAGTGGTGAGCAGCATTTCTGCCCCCTTTATAGTGCATCGTGTCCACTAGAGCAAGGCACCTTCACCTTTTAGTCCTGCATGAGCCCAAGCCCCCAAGCGTCCCAACTGGCTGCAGCTGGCACTCACTGTAGGGGGTCTCCTTGTGGGTCCCGCTGATCCGGCCGTCGGGGGGCACCTGGAGGTGAAAGCCGATGCCCACGTTGCAGTAGAGCCTCCGCTGCCGCTTGATCCCCACCAGGTAGCCACTTTCCCAATTCACCCTGGCGATCTCTCCAGCTAGCCCAGTGCGAGACCTGGACAGCAGGGTGCCCCAGCCCCTTGAGTCCAGCTGCGTGTTGTTGGCACGGGAGCCCGCAGGCAAGGATACCACCATGCCCACTAGGATGCCTAGGAAGATGAGAGCCCACAGCGTGCCCTGAAGACGTCCTGCTCCCTGGGACATAGTGATGAACAGCCTCTGTCCCAGGGCCATCCACCTTGCCTCTCAGGCACGTGGTCAGAATTAATGGCCCTAAAAATACCGCCCTTCTTGTTTTTCTCCCTCCCGCATGGCGGCAGGGGCTTATTTTTGGAAGGCAGATGAAGGCTGCTGACATGAAACCAAAGCCTGCATCGGGCACTCGGGTTGAGAGCAGAGGGACCCAGGCTGAGCCGTGGCCGGTAGAGACCATGGCTCGGGGACACTCTCTAGCTCACCCGTTCGCTCTGTCCGGTGTCGATGATATTTGATTTGACCTATCTTTATAGTTGGTACAGCAGCCCGGCCCTCCCCTCCACCCATCATCACCCTGATGTCAACCCACCCAGCTCACTTATCCAGGGCTGTAACATTAACCTGTTCTTGGGCCTGGCTGCCTCCCCAGACCCCCATCAGCCTCCACACTCCCCAGGGGTTCTGGGAGCCACTGCCATTCCAACTATGAGACAGGAATGAAGTGAGCAGGGAGCATATCTGGGGAAGTGGGGAGTTGGCTGGGGGCCCAGGGAAAAAGAGAGGCGAGAGGCCACCCAGGACTCATACTGGGCAGAAGTTCTCGGCCTGGCAGTGCTGGCTCCTTATTTAGAGGGCAATAGGTAGAGGCAGAGATGGGAGAAGGCTTGTGGTGGTGATGACCGTAGCCTGCAAGTCACCCTTGAGACCTTTTCATGGAAACAGCTCATGGTGGAGGGGAACACTGAAAGGCCAAACCCTTTCAGCAGGAGGGCACAAAAATTCTCAGGTCGTGGGAGGGGGGCTGTCCAAGGAGGTTTAAGATTGTGGAGGGAGGCGCCGGGCGCGGTGGCTCACGCCTGTAATCCCAGCACTTTGGGAGGCTGAGGCAGGCAGATCATCTGAGGTCAGGAGTTCAAGACCAGCCTGGCCAACATGGTGAAACCCCATCTCTACTAACAGTACAAAAATTAGCCAGGCTTGGCGGCGGATGCCTGTAATCCCAGCTACTCAGGATGCTGAGACATGAGAATAGCTTGAACCTGGGAGGCGGAGGTTGCAGTGAGCCGAGATCCTGTCATTGCACTCCAGGCTGGGCGACAGAGCGAGACTCTGTCTCAAAACAAACAAACAAACAAACAACAAAAGATCTTGATTTTGGAGGGAGGGAGGGCAAGGGCGAGGTTTGCCTGCTCACTGTCTTGGTCACAGCATTCAACCGGTGTGGAAGTTGTGTCTGGCCTTTGACATAGCCCACTGGCCATTCTCCTCCCTGGATTTATCCTTGGCAAGTGACTGATATTATTCTCATTTCACAGATGAGGAAGCTAAGGCTTAGAAAGGTTAAGTGACTTGCCCAAGTTACCACAGCTAATAAGTAGCAAAGCCAGAACTCCTAGGGTCTGCCTGAGCCTAAAGCCTGTGCATGTCTAATGCTTGCAGTAGAAGTTGGCTGGCCCGAAGAGTCTATTTAGCTCCTTAAATGCCAATAGCACATCATAAAGTTATTTTAGTAGCATAAAATGATTCATTTGTTAAAAGAAAAAAAAAAGAACTTGAGTGTCTTTGATGTACATTGGAATGTCTGTATTTGCAGATAACTTTTGCTGGGCTGATATTACACCCAGAAACTAGTAAAAATATTTCTGCCAGGAAGTTATTCCTACACCCATTTTTCTTTTCCCCATATTACTTTTAAATAGATTACATGTCTAACTGAAGTAAAAAAAAAATGTTAAGCTGCCAAAAAACCTACCCCACAAATTGCTATAGAATATAAAAAGGAACTATTAATACGTCTCTGATGATGAAAAAGTTAGCAAGGGTCACCTGGGGAATTGAGTTTAAAATCCTGTTTCTTGTGCTTCAATCCAGGTCTTAATCTGTTGGTGAGACATTGGCACTGATCGTGCAGGGATTGGAAGGAGTGTGTGAGGTGACAACAGTGACATACAGATGGATATGAGCCTCCTGAGCAGTCGAGCTGGTCCCAGCGGGCAGCTTCCTTAGCCACACTCTGCACGCATGCTGCAGGCTGCAGGCAGCCTGGAAAAGCTGCTGGGGCAAGTCCCATGGCCCAAGGACTCTATTGAGGCACCAAACCTTCTGCTGTGCCCTGGGTTCCAGCCACCGGCCTATGGCTTCTACCTGCCTTCTCTCTGCCCTTCTGCCCATTCACTGGGTTTGATGCTTGGATCAAATTTCTGTCGAGCCATGTAATTCAGTGTTGCCCTAGACATGCCTTCTCAGATCCTGTGAAACCCAGACATCTATTATTACCCTCAGCTGGTGAACTGAATGGAGAGGGCCATAGGCACCCCTTATTCCTACTCTCACCACAGTGCCCCCAGTTTCCCCATTGGTTTCCTCTCCCCAGTGGGCCATTGCCCCATACCCAATCTCATGACCACCAGCACTACCATTTCCCACAAGGAAAGATGATGCCTTATGGGCTCAGATTGAGTCTTCTGTGTAGGCCTTCGCTGGAAAATTGTTTTTTAAAAAAATCTTTCTGCAAAGTAAGAGGTTCATGAATAATCCAAAGAGAAAGTTGTCAACAAAAAGAACTTCACTTTGGATTTCCCACTGGGTTTCATATAGTTAAGCTTTCATGGATGCAAGAGCAGTGGGGACACTTTCTCAGTGATGCTGTATGGAATCTTGTGTTAATTATGCTGGTGGTCCTCACTTAGGGAAGAGACAGTCCAGAAACATTTTGGATGGTAAGGAGAAGTCAGTCTGAAATTAACACTTGCCTTGGGTAAGTGGAGAGGTGCTCACCAGCAGAGCTCAGAAACTCTGTGGAATTTCTTGGTACCCATCCACTTTGGAACTGCCTTAGGAGAGGGATTAAACTATAACAATGTCCATGCCATATACCAATAAAAATGGTGAAGCTTCTGAGATTCACCTCATCCTAGATTCCTCTCTGTGCAGAGGCTGTGGTTGATGTCTCATAAAATAAGGCTTTGGAATGGGGATACCTGGATATGAATCTCAACTCTACCATTCATTAGCTGTGTGACCCTGGGAAAGTTCTGGACCTCTCTGAGCTTCATTATTTTGTCATCTGCAAAATGAGATCATTACTTCCAAAGGTTGTTATAGTGACGAACAATAATAGATGCAACTGGCCCGGTGCAGAACACAGCATAGCTATTTCCCAGAAATTTATCCGAAACACATTGAAAATCTCTCACCCAATTAAAGAGGACAAACCCAAAGTCAGAAAGACCATCTCTCATCTCAGGGGGTGGGAGAGACACGTGGGCTTCCAGTTCTTCATTGCCATCCACCAGAGCATATGTTGTGATGGCTGCTAACATATGCTGAAGCAGGCAGCCTAGATTCCTCAAATGTTCTGAAAAGCAGTGAGAGCCTTGGTGTCATCCCCTGTTAAATATAAAGCTTAAGTAATTCATGCTATTAAAAAGCCTGGGTCTTATTTTTATCGGGTGATGCGATGAGGCCGTGTTCTCAATGCACCTCCTCTGCCTGTCTCTATAGCAACTTTACTGTGCTCACGTAGCCATATATTTTGCTGAAGGCTAATTAAGTTGACAACTGGTAGGTCTTCTTGGCTTACCAGATTTGCACTTGACCCTTCTCTTGGGGCTTAGGGACCCCTATGGATGTGAAGTGATAGAGAAAAGAGTAACAGGTGGAAGAGGCCTCTCTCCATGGACCCCTCTTGCAAATAGTTGGCCAACAGCCTTTGGGGATTGTCAATCAGTCTTGCTGGGTGAGCCAAGATCCAGTGGAGGTGAGTGGGAAAATATGTTAATGTCTATCTCCTTCCACAGAAGGGTCCTTGACCCCGAGGGGGATGCCACGAAGCATAGATTGGTCAAATTTGGCAGTGCTTAGCCACACAGACCGTTCGCATCATCTGCATGATGGAACTCCCTCCGTCATACCAGGAGGTTGCTCTCTGTGACTCCTGTGTATTACATAATCAAGATCAAACGCCCGAGGGGCGACCAGAAGGGAAAGCACATACAACTCAGACGAGCCTCCTCCATGTCGATGGTGAAAAGCTGTGCTTACTCGTATCTTTTACATTTGGTTTTGAAAAACTAGCATTTGCCTTTTTCTGTAGATAATTTAGAAAACATGGAAAATGATAAGGTGGAAAACAAAAGAGCTGTTTGTACTTAGTGTCTTTCTATCTTTTGTCTCAGAGTCTGTCTTTGTGTGAGCTTGGCACAGCGGCCTGGATGCCTCCTTGTATCTCCTCCAAATTTTGCTCAGACAGCCACCTCTGCACCTATCTCTGTATTTTTTTTTTTTTTTTTTAGTGGTAGAGATTGCACGTGGGATTTAATAGGCATGAAATGGACATGTGTAGACATGAGGATCTAGGAAGGACTCCTGCCCTAGGCCTGAGCAAAGAGGGACATTTGCAGCTCATAAACATGCTGCAAAAGGGAGAATTCAAGAGAAAAAGTTTTGGCTGATCAACCGTGTCCAGCTTGGACTTCTGCAAGGACAGTCCTGCTATTATCTTGCTAACTATTCCCTGGAGAAGCCTCAACTTTGTACTTTCCTAGCAGAACTCAGCTTTTCCTAGGCCTCATCACTTACACAGTGGGAGCCATTAACAGTCATAATCCACATTTCCCTAGTTCATGCTTCTTCCAACTCGTGTGGAACTTCACTCCACTACCAATCACCCCCGAGATATTCCTGCAGTTCCGTAGCATGTCTCACACATGTTCATGAACATGTGATTGCTCCTGTCTGGGCACATTGCCAGGCACCTGTGTGGATCACCCTGTTCTCTAGCCCTTCCGCCTCCTGCTGGGCAGCCCAGGGGTATTCCCTTCCTCACTACAGCTCAGCACCTGAAGCCCTCAAGGAGCCAGAGCTGCTTTATATTCTGTTTCAAAGCCAGGAAGAATGCCTTAGTCCCCTTCTTCATGTTATACCTGTTAAAGAAAATACCTGACCAGAACTACTCATGCCCTGGTGATTTGCTCATTTGAAGTTTTTTTCAGACCCGCTGCCCTGCAAAGGACTCAGTCTTGTTATAGGTTGAGCTGATCAGGTGGGATTCCCATTTTCTTCCATGTAGATTATTTTTCTGAAGGCCCCTCAATCCCTCAGACAAATAGACTTCTGCTGGGGCCAGCCCATCCGCATTGTTTAGATGTGTCTGAATCCTGGCTTGAGTTCAGACTGGAAACCCTGCCCCACTCCCAGAGACCCCTAAAATGGGAAGTGAGGGAGTCCCTGAAAACACAGCTTTGTGGTCCAGTTGGTC